ACGCCCCCCCCCGCCCCCCCGCCCCGCCGCCCCCCCCCCCCCCCCCCCCCCCCCCGCCCGCCCCCCCCCCCGCTTGCCGCCTTAGACTGGGTAATGCATTCCAGCCTGCTGGTTCATGACACTTACAGTTTACATACGATACAGTTACAGGTACGTGCACGCGCACGTTACGCAACGCAACGACGACGTTCACTTTCAACACTTCGCCTCCTCCTCTCCAAACTCCCCTCATTCACTTGTGATGGAGAAGAAAGAAACGAACCCGTTACTATCCGTCGAAACCCACTATCAACTGCCAATAATCAATTATTGGGACGATTAATACATACTGTGCAGTTTCACATGGTGAATAACCCGAATCAGTGTAGTTAGACTTGGTTGGAGAAAGTCAATTCCCCAAACCACAAGATCGACCCCACTGCCACTGCCACTGCCACTGCCACTGCCACATCGATCACATCATCCATCCCCGGGAACAAGTTTTACGCATACAGTAAATCGTATGGCCGGCCGGTTTTTTTTTTTTGGTACTGTACATAATTACCACCTGCCTGAGCAAGTAATTAATTGACAGGCAGAAGAACACCCCCGACACCACCTGCTGCAGCATGCGCCGCTGCTGCTGCGGTCTCCCGATGGATGGTGGGGAGTGAAACCCGGTATGGTATCCATATACAGCTCGTGAGTGAGTGAGTTGAGTTGCCGGCCAGTGGAGAAATTGATATGGCTGGCTGCATCTAGTTCTAGGGTCCATGGATGATCACGTACTGTACATACATACAATACAGGTATGTACCTAGTCTACCCCGAATTTCCAAGTGGTTCACATGGGAAATCACTTGTTGTCCGTAATTAAACCACACCGCACTGCTAAAAATCACCGGGCGGGCAATCTGAGAACATGGAGTACCTACCTATCCAAGTAAGTATTAATTAAGCTTACCTACAAGGTCAAGGTATGCCAGAGAAAGGTAGACAGCAGACAGGTTAGTTAGTTAGTGGATCAAGGTCTCAGGAACCCCTCCTTTTTTCTTTTTCTGGGGTGTATTATCGTGTGTGTATGTACTAATAGTTGTTAGTGTGCAGTGCAGATCTCTCTAAACTAACAACGAACACAACCACCATCACACCCTGCGTGTTTGTCCACGTGTTATTTTTTTTTTTTTTTTTTTTTTTTTTGCCCCCGAGAGTTTTAATTACAGAGTTAATAATAGAGAGTATAGCCAAGTAACAAGTGTGCCTAGACTAAGTAAATCCTAAGTTGGCTTTTCAGTTTTGTCCTACCAAGTCAAAACTCACCGCCCAACCTGGAGGAGGAAGCTAGCTTCGGAGAACTACTGCCACAACATAAGGTTGATGGACAGATCTAAGAAACCGAAACCGGTAGTACACAGTGTGTACACACACACACACGCGCGCGCAAACGCCCATGTTTCTACTCCCACCGCTGCTGGTTGTTCATCCTCGATCTCTGGTTCGGGGGGTCGGACAGATCTACTACTCCTGTTTCTCTCTCTCTCCGTTATGTATGTACATACTGTGTATAGACTGATTGGGACCGCTCTAGCGCTGAATAGCAACCCCTTTTCTCTGAGGAGTAGAAAAAGTTTCACATGTTGCTGTATGTACCATGTGCATGTACAGCTTTTTTTTTGGGGGGGGGGGCTAAGCAAGAGTAGAGAGAGAGACGCCAGTAGAAGAGAGACATGATATTACGTCGAATTCGAGCAAGCATTTGGGAAGTCTCGTTGTTTTGTTGTTGACCGCTCATCTTTCTTCGTGTGTATACAACACAACTAATATATCCGGTACCTCCGTCTGAGTTGCATGTCGTGCAATTTTCCCCATCTCACCCCCCCCGCACGGTATTGCGCCTGTCTGTCTGTCTATCATCGGAAAGTATGCATCTAGATTGCGCATCTGAAACCCCCCCCCCCCCCCCCAAAAAATCTATCTCAGATGTGATGTGGAAAAAAAAAATTTGTTCTTCTATCCCTTTTTCCCAATAACAACACCTAATATGTCCAAAATTACTAGCGGTTACTTCAGTGAACTTCCAAAAGATGGTGTGTGTGCTGTGTGTGTGTGGCTCATGACGTGAACCCTATTTCGTTTGAGAGAGCCCAACTTGTTTCTAAGTTTTGTCTTAGCTCTTGTTGCCACACACACACACACACTTTTGAAGTGTACTGATGGTGTGTTTTGCCCCCTCCCAACGAACGTGAGCAGGGGCGGGCGAACTAAACTTTCGGGGATCTCAAAATGTCCGATAAAACTAGCACACACACACGCACACAGCTCTAGCGTAACTCCCCTCACCGACTAGTTATTATCTATCCACTACATACTGTGCTGTGTTGTGTTTGTGCACCATGACCGAT